ATTACTAAGCTTTTTTTTATGCTGCACACATGGTCTTTTTTAAAAAAGAGTACTCTGTGCGCAAAACATAATTGCTCTCTGATTCTGCAAAGGTTTCCCTTCAATAGAATTGCATTTTCCTGATATAACTGATTAAAATAAATTAAATGAGCCACTCACTTATTCTTTCAGTTTGCAAACTTTGAAATTTTTAACAGGGTTCTTACACAGGCATACATTGTGCAACTCTACATACTATTTAGTAAAGTGCATTCTAAGTGCACTTTTGAAAACCTAGATAACAATGTTCTCAATAAATAGAAAAGATGACAAAATGTCTAGCCCAGGGACCATCAAGCCTCTGCTTGCCCCTTGGCCATCAAACAGGTGACAGTTCATCAGCCAGTTTTTGCCAGTTCTGCCTACTCCCTCCCTAAAATGTGAGCTGCCTTGGGTGAAATGTTATATTCCTTCCCACTTTTAGCATAATAATTTGGCAAATGTTGGTGAGGGAGAAGCAAAGTTCTTGAGCTGGTTTACTTTCCACATCTTCCATGGTCATTAACTTTACTCCTTTAAAAAAAAAAAAAGATATGTATATATGTACATTTATACATATATATGAATAATAGATACTACATTATATTATTAATTACATTATATATATTTGTGTGTGCATATTACAAAGCTTGATTCAAGATTTTTTTGTATAGAAATCACAACCAAGCTTTCTTGCGTTAAAAAACAAAATTCAACTGAGTAAATTTTAAAGATTTTATTGGCTTTATTCCATGATTCATGAATTGGGTAGGACCAATCTAGCAGATAGAAAGGAGCTTCAGGCAGACATACAGAATGAAAGACTTTCATAGGCAGAAGGGAGCAGACACAAGGAAGTTACGCTAGAGAAAAAAACAGATTGGTTATAGCAAGGTCACTTTCCTTTAGGGGGTGGTAGGGGTCCATCAGGCAGATTTCCTAACTATGCTGATTAGGCACTTCCTGATTGACTGGTTTAAGATTCCATTTCTGGGAGAGGCTAAAACTGTAATTAAGTTATCTTTCAGTTTGGTTACATGGGACTTAGCATGAGTGACTCCATTTTGGACCTGTTGTCTTTGTTTTTAACACTTGTGATTTACACCATTTATGAATGCATGTATTATTTTAGTAGTAAATCGATGTCACTTGCACTACAGAAAATACATCTGAGTTTATAAAAATGTTGCAAAATAATAGCTACTTGGCTTAACATAACTTATTGAGTATCTGGCAGTTATTTTAAAAAAAAGTTGATGCATTGATCAATCGGATGATGGCAGAGTGGCTATAGACCAAAATGAGAAAGAAGAAGAGAGAACAGAAATCGTCGTGAAAGACAGAGCAGCAGAAGAGATATCAGAAATAATCTACTCATTTTCAGTTTTCTTTCTAAATTAGACCATATCTCATTGTGTCTGTTGTCACCAGGTATTATAAACCTTAAATAAATGGTTTATTATGTTTTTTTCTCTGAGACATTTGTGGGGCGTTAAGGAGAAGGAGCTAGTCAAGTCTTTAAACATTCTGATCAGGTTTCCTCCAGGGTCTTGCTGCTGGAAGAATGTCTTATGGGTAAATTTCCACTCTCTCAGCGGGGAGTGTTTTGCATGAACCAACTCCCAGGAGAAAATGTTATTCCATAGAACAAAGCCTAGGCAGTGACTCATATTAAACTGACCAGGGTGGGGGAGGGGAAGCATTGACCTGGAGGGAGGGAAAGGGTAGAGGACACAATTTACTTTCTAAAAACTGACTGTGGCTCTCTGGGAAATGAAAAACCTCTGAAGTCTCAGTGTTTCTCTGTGATGCTTTTATATAAAAAGTATTTGCAATGTGTCATAAGGATTTTCTAGGATGAAATGAAGATTCTTAGTCAAGGGAAGAAAAACCGAGTCTCTTGTAGAAAAAGTAACCAAACTGTCTTTCTCATCTACATCTCTTAGTTATAATATCAACTATAATTGATAGGACGGACATGGCTAATTTAATAAAGCCATTTGCTGCTCATCAGAAACAAGACTTAAAAAAGATACTGATTTTAAAGAAGAGCCATTTCTTGCTTGAATTTGCATGTTTCGATATGACACAACCTAGAAATGGATTCTTCTCACCTTAGCTAAAACAACTTGAATTTCAAACACCTGTCTTTCACAAAGGTTAGAAATTCACAGACCATCACTGCCGTGTTTCCTGTTGTTATAAGGGCTGCTTCTTGATAAAATGATACAGTTCTGCAGTTTGATCCTTTTAATTATCTTTTTTTATTATTACAACATGCACCAGGGTCCTAAACTTCCGAGGATTTATTGATAAGGGCGTCTTCCACTTGTACTGCCTCATTTTATTGCTGTTTTTATAATGGTTTCTAACTAATAAAATGTTATCTTATTCATTTTGTTTATGTGTAATAAATCAGAAACCTTTCCCCTTCTTCTGCTATGCAGATATGGGTGTGCCGGTGGGGGAGCGTCTATCCATGTGTTAAACTGATGACGTCTTTTGCATACAAATAGAAATTAGTACAAAAGCATTTCATTAAAGAAAGTATCGCTGTTTCTGCATGACCCAGGGAAAATTAATATTCTAAATGCAAAATCACGTGACTTGGGGGTTTTGCCTCTTCCCAGCAACCAAAGCTGTGAAAAGATGTCTGGAATAAAGCCTAGATTTCTTCTCTGTTCCTATGAGCAATATTATTTCCTTGATGAAGGAAATAGATATGATGGAAAAAAAAATAGTGCGTGCAGTTTTCAGGCAGCTTTAAGCCCTAGATGTTATATTCATTCAACAGGTATTTATTAAACCCTTGCAATGTGTCAGACTCTGTGATAGGTGCCAAGGTGAACAGGAGACATGGTCCTGGCCCCCACAGAGCTTACATTTTTATAGGGAAATAGACACCAAACGAATGATTACATCAATGAATAAGTAATTTCGATTGTGATAAGGGTTGGGAAGGAGAAGCTGGGACCCTGAGAGAGTATTGTCCATCAAGATTCATTCAGTCCTTATCTTCAGACTCAAGCCACTTACTTTCCAGGCTCTGGGCCTGGCCCCGGGGTTAAGAGCAGGGATGAAGGCCGACCTGTGCAGACAGTCTCACAGCGCCCCATGATGGATATACTTGGGAATTGCATCTCTGGCAACACCTCACTGATGGGATTGGGGAAGGCAATAATGCAGAAAGATGGGTTCTTGTCAGAGCCGCCATTTTTACTGAGTGTTGAAAAGCCTCCCAAGCACCCAGTGGCATAGGCAAAGGCAAGGGGATGAGGTGAGATAAGCTTTTAGAGAAGTGTAAACAGTTCTAGGAGGAGAGGCTATGGAATATGCAGTGGCTGGAGGCAAGCCTAGAAAGGCAGGTTGAAAGCAAATGGTGAATGAAGGAAGTTGTATGCCTTGCCAAGGCATTTGGACATTGTTCTGACATTTGCAGGGAGCCATTGTGGAATTTTAAAGAGGAGGTGTTATAGGGGATATAGTTGCCTAAGGGCATCTACCTGGTCCATTACCCCTTCCTGAGACTACCTTAATTTACTTTCAGGTATCTACCCATCTCCCAATAGCTACCTGCTCCAGGGGAAGCCCTCCAGATGCAGGGCTTGGTCTTATTAAGGTAGGGTCCTCCAGGGCGCCTGGGTGGCTCAGTTGGTTAAGCAACTGCCTTCAGCTCAGGTCATGATCTTGGAGTCCCAGGATCAAGTCCCACATAGGGCTCCCTGCTCAGCAGGGAGCCTGCTTCTCCCCTCTGACCCTCCCCCCTCTTATGCTCTCTCTCACTCTCTCTCTCTCAAATAAATAAATAAATAAAATCTTTATTTAAAAAAAAAGGCAGGGTCCTCCACTCCTAGATCTAGCTAGATGGGCCACTTTGGCCAAAGTCTATCAACTCACCCTTTACTTTGGCTATAGGGATCAGTTGAGGAATGGGCATATGACCAATTCCAACCAATTAGATGCAGAGAGGGGAGTCTGCCAGGGAATTCTGGGAAAGATGTTTCTTGTCTCTTAAGACAGAGCTACTGAAAAGGATGCCCTCTCTTGCTGTGGATGTTGTGCTGTGCAAATGTGAAGACCTGTAGGCAGCATGCTCCTTGGAGCAAAGTCAACCTCAAAATGAAACTCTTAACCCCTTAAGAGTGTAAGCACCCTTAAGGTACAGGCTACGTGGGTTTGTACACTAACTATGCCCCTTACTTGCGTGTGATCTTAGGCAAAGTACCTCTCAGCCACCATGCTCATATGGAGATAATAACAGTAGTTATCTCTTGAGGGCTTGACAAAGTGCTTGGCTCATGGTAAGTGCTTCATAAATATTAGTTATTTTTAAGCCCTTCATTAAATATTTACTGGGAGCCCGCTATGGGCCAAGCACTCTGAGGTACTGAGGATATCATGTGAGCAGGAAAGACACAATCCTTGTCCTCAAGAGATATGCAGGGCTTGACTTATCTTATATTTGTTTCTTGCAAGTATCTCATTATCCTCCATATTGTAGTTAGAAATTGACATAAGCTTTACACACTCTTGTATCTGCTTCATGATGGTGGCTTCTATATAGTAAGTACTCACTTAATGAATGTCTGCTGAAAGGAAGTGCCAAAACATTTATTGTATACCTGGTAAGGGCAAGCCCTGATCCAGACCACCATGGCAGTGTTCACGGAAAGGCAGTACAGTTTAGTGGTTAGAACCAGTAGGTTATCTTCAGAAAGGTCTTCCTTTGAATTCTGCCTTTGGTGCTTACTAGCTGTGTGACCCTAGGTGAATTCTCTTTCCTCACCCCTGACATGGGGATAAAAATATCTGTTTCATTAGGGGTGTTATGAGGAATTAAATGATATGAAGGGGATTATATCTAGTACCCAGTGTATTGCTGAAAGTAGCCACTCAGTAACTTATAGTTATTTGTTACTGGGGCATTTCACATGTTGACATGAAATTCATTTTGTAATTAATTGGGCATTTTATTTTAACAGGTGTCATGAGCTAGTCATTTTTGTTGCCCACCTCCTGAACTCTTTCCCAACTGAGCAGAAGCCTAAGGAGGAGGCAGGTATTTTCTCTCCCCTCCCCTGCATTAATGGCTGGATACTGGACCAAAAGGTGAGTGTCATTAATCTGAAGCTTCTGCCTAAGACTTTCATTCGTGAGGAAATAATAAAAGAGACAGGGATGGTTAGACATTATGCACAGCAGCTATGCTGAAATCAGGAGTTTTTGGTGCAGTGGTGAGTGCCCAGGGCAACTGAGTCCAGCCTCGTGGTGGGATGTGGGTGCATGTGGCCTGTGGTGATAGGGCAGGATCCTGGCTGTACTTTTTATTTTCTGAGCCTGGTTCTCCAGCATTCAGATCCATTCCTTGAATGTCTCAATACCCTCTTATAATTCTCTTCCTATCTACATCAATTAGAGTTGACTTCTGCTGTTTGCAACCAGTAACCCTGGTAGAACAACAAATGTTAGAATTTTTAAACACTGAATTTAAGTTTTATACTTTTATGGTATTGGTGGAATACCTTATCAGGTACTGAAGGTTATTTGTGTTCTTTTTTTTTTTTTTTAAAGATTTTATTTATTTATTTGAGAGAGAGAATGAGAGAGAGCACATGAGAGGGGGGAGGGTCAGAGGGAGAAGCAGACTCCCTGCCGAGCAGGGAGCCCGATGCGGGACTCGATCCAGGGAATCCAGGATCATGGCCTGAGCCGAAGGCAGCCGCTCAACCAACTGAGCCACCCAGGCGCCCTCTTTTGCTCTTCTTAAACCATTAAAAGCCAGATACCCAGGTGTGAGGCTACCAACAACTTTATGTTATATTCATTGAGCTTGGCTAAAATCCAGATGTGATACTGCTCAGATAATGTTATTTTCAACGTGTCATCTTATTTCATGGCAATCTTCACTATATGTGTAACTCAAGAAAATGTTGACTACAAGCCAATCCATGAAGCCAATACTTTAACTATAAAATCTGTCCCAACTTTGTACTTTAATTTAGCTAGCTCTTGGAATACAGTCTTTGTAATAGGTGTTGTCTTAGTTTTTGAAAAGGGAATCTTTTTATCAACAATATTTAAATGATTTGTAGTTAAAACACTTTTTTTTCTATCTGGAAAGTAATTTGAATAGAGGACTATATAAGGATAAACCCAGAGTCTTGAGGCTACCTGGTTTTTATGCTACTTCTTTCAGGGAAGATTGGAAGCTTTCATTGTTCATGATGTCTCAGTGTGCTGAGCAATATACACAGCAAGATAGAATCAGTGATGAATTGATGGATAGAAATAAATTTGAGGGACATCAGAGATTATCTAGTCAAGAGAAGTCAAAGAGCCTTTCTCATGCATGCCAACTTTAATCAGTGGGTAGGGTTGCATAGAGTGTTGTCAAGAATATTTATGAAGTTGCATCCAAGTTCATTGGGAAAGAATGGTGTGATCAATGATTAATGTCTGCTATAGGAGCTGAAGCGGAGAATGGTGCCACATGTGTTGATTACTTACACTCTGGTCTAGTCTAACCCCTTCATCTCACTGATGATGAAGAGAAGCCCAAAAAAGGCAAGGGACTCTCCAGAGCTTGTTAGTTGGAGGTGTTCCTTCCCTCAAATAAATGCTTCAGCTCCTCAGTGATTCATAGAATGTGATTTCTAGTTCTCTGTCCATCCTTTCCTCTGCAGACATTCCAGTTTGTTACCTGAGGACAGCATTGTGTCCTGAAAGACATCAGCTGTGGAGTCAAGACACACCTGGCTTTGAATCCTAGCTTGTCTACTCCTTAACATCTCTGAACCTTAGCTTCCTCATCTTAGAACAAGATTGACGATTATTCCGCTCCCATTTGAGTTGTAAAGATTCATTCATTCATTTCACAAATATTTATTGTGTACTTGCTATGTGCAAGGCATTGGGGATAGAACAGTGAACAAAACATGCAAATGTCTGGCACTCTTGGAATTTTCTAGTAGGTTAAAGGCAATAGTGTGTGTGGAGGGGGCGGGGGGTGTCATCACAAACAGGTTTTGAATACCTAGCAACATCCAACATTACTAACTCCTTTCCACTCCTTGCTGGCCTTCAACCCTGCACTGCTGCTGTGTGGTCTGAGAAGGACAGAGCAGCCAGACCTGACAATAATCTTCCCCATTAGGGACATAAACTAAATTTGAATAAGAGCAGCCTAAGTTCACAAGAGCTTTCAGGAGACAGTTCTTTTGCACTAGGGGCTCTTCCTAGCTTCAGTGGGGCATCAATGGCATCCAGGGGTGGCTATAGACAATTGTTGCCCTCTCCTCAAATGGTGAGTCTGGCCTGGGTCTTTTCCTGCACATACTTTGGACATTGATTTATTTGTCTCTCCCTTTCCTTTTCCCCTCCTTCCTTATCCCCTGCTCTCCCCCTCTCCCCGCCCCGCCCCCCCCACACACACCAAGGGAGGAATGAAACTCATGAAGGATAAAGCCTGTCAGCTCCCAAAAAAACAATTCTCTCATTTGCAGAGGGAGGAAGAACTCTAAAATCTAGCTTTTCACATCCCCTTGTTGAGCTTTAATAGGATTCTATTTGGAACAGAAGACTAGCAGCCACCCACACTCACCTGCCCATCTTGTAGTGATTTGCACATCTCTTTCCAATTCCCATCCTGTAAACTTTAGGAAAATCAAAAGTACCTATTCATCAAGAAAAGACTACATACTTAATAGATTCAGTTCTTGTTGGAAAAAAAGAAACCTAAATATAATGAATTAAATGTCAAAAGATTTCAGTGGACGATTCTTAGAATCAGGAGAAATATATAGTTATAGACACAGTTCTGTTAATATAACCCAGAATTGGATCTGTCTCCTTCCCTCCTAATATGATTATTTTCCCCAGGTGGCCCACACTCTTACAACGTAAGGAAGAGCTAAATGCCAAGGGGATTTTTTGGGTTCCCTCTCTTTCCTGCTTGGTTTTGGGCATGCCATGGAAAACAGTGCCTGTAGAAAATTCTGTTGTGTTCTGTTACCTACAGTTCACAGTCCAGGAGAAGCCACTTGGAAATTAGATTTCTGTTCAGAAATACGGTAGGTATCTTTTCATCCAGCGCAAAGATAATGATGCTCTTGGTGTGAGTAAGAGATGGAAGAAGTTTTCTGGGCTTAGGAATTTGGGGGCAGGCATGTTGTCTGGAAGCTGCTTCCACATCTGCTTTTCACTCCCCAGCGTGTAAGCAAAGAAAATAGTAGAGTAGATACCTCTAACATGCACAGAATCTTGCGTATGTCGAAAACTTAATAAGCTTTCAAAATCTTTTACTCCCATCTGCATATTTTGAGCCCTATAGTGACATTATGATGCAAGCCGGGCAGATTTCATTTTCCCTACTTAATATTTGAGAAAATTGACACAAAGCAGAACAAAGTACCTTGCTCATGCTCATGGAGTAAGACCAGGCAGGACCAGGATTAGACACATCTCCTGCTCCTAGATCCGGTCTTATTTGGCTTCTACCTGCTGCTGCTGGCCACCCTTGTCCAGAGGCCCAGAACCCAAAGCTCTTCTTGACAGTAGACCCTTGACTACTGGTCCCAGTCTTGGGTAACTTGCCATCCAGTTGAAGGGCTCAAAATTTACAACTGTTGCCAGTGCCTAAAACATGGACTTCCCTGTGTCCACCCAAATTCCCCAAACAAAACAGCTTTAAGCCACTCACTGATTATGGAATTATAAGCTCTGGCTCTTCCATTCACTAACTGGTGATGTCATGGAAGTCGATTTGTTGGAGTTATAGTTTTGTCAAATACAAAGTAGGGATGAGAATTGTTTGCCTCATGGGGTTTTCATGATAACTGATGGAGAAAATTAATGTGAAAATGCTTTGTAAAAGATAAAGCATTGCATAAATGTAATTTATTCCTGTATTACATAGCAGTTACTGTGAGCCAAGCCCTGTTTCAAAAGCTTTACAAAATATTAACTCAAATAATCTTCACACTAACCCTATGAGGTTAGTGTGAGCCTCATCTTACTGATGTGGAAACTGCTTCTCCATGCACATAGTTAGTTCTTAGCTTGAGGGGCATCTCAGTGGCTCTAAAAGACACAAACATATCTCACTTTTTCTCCCTTAAAATCCTTTGAAAATCAAATTAAATTAAGGAAAGAACAAATCAAGAAATGCTTAAGATAAAAGCAGAAATTGATAAATTAGGAAAGAAAAAGCTGCAGAAATGATAGCTACTTCAAGAACTGGTTCTTTGAAAAGACCTATAAAAGAAGGAAACTTCTTGATGTCTGGTGAAAAAAAGAATAAGTAAAAACACAACCACAAACAGTAAGAATGATGAAAGATACGATCACAGATAGGGAGGGGCAGAAAGTGTATAAGAGTATATTATTTACAATTCTATAGAAAGACAAGTGAAGACAATGTTCCTAGATCAATTTCCCAAGTTAATTTTGATAATTTAGGTTTTCTTAGGAAAATTGATCTAGTTGTTTGTTTTTTTTTTCCCCACATGTCTTGGCATAGAACATCCAGCCTAATTCTTTTTTTTTTTTTTTTTTTGCCTAATTCTTAACTGTAAAACTTAAGGGGGGATTTTCCTGAAAGTGAATGTATCCACTATCATCACTATATTTCAACCTTGATTTGGTAATAGAATAAGGAAAATAAATGAAGAATAATTTTCTGCAGAGTCAAAACTATTTGTAATGTTCTTAACAATATAGAATCTCAGCTTAATAACTAAATTATTTTTTTTAAGATTTTATTTATTTGAGAGAGAGAGTGAATGAGCAAGAGAGCACAAGCAGGGGAGCAGCAGAGGGAGAGGGAGAAGCACGCTTTCCCTGCTGAGCAGGGAGCAGCATACGGGCTCCATCCCAGGACCCTAAGATCATGACTCCAGCTGAAGGCAGACGCTTAACCAACTGAGCCACCGAGATGCCCCTCAAGGTAAGAACTAAATTAATAAGAATTCGGTTGGTGGCAGGTTATAAAATAAATAGCCACAATTTAGGTTTCCTGAAGACTGGCAATAGTTAATTTTCAAATGACTTGAAAAAGAACCCCACCTCATCTACAATCTCAACCAAAATTATAGAATAGTTGTGGATCAATAAAAAATGTACAAGATGTATGCACTAAACTTTAAGACTGGCCCAGAAGGGGCGCCTGGGTGGCTCAGGTCACAATCCCATGGTCCTGGTATCCAGCCCCACATTGGGCTCCCTGCTCAGCGGGGAGCCTGCTTCTCCCTCCGCCCCTACCCTCCATGCTCACGCTCTCTCTCAAATAAATAAATAAAATCTTTAAAAAGAAAAACTGGCCCATTAAAATTGTTACCACTTTCCCCCATTGTGGTGACGATGGAGGGTCGCCAGACACCTCTTTCTCACCTCTTTAGAACCTGGTGCATGCATCTGCCGCACCTTTGGCTCTAGTACAATTCACTTGGAAAGGCCACGCCCCTGGCTGCTCCCATCCAATGACCGAGCATGGTGGGGTACTATTATGCAGCAAGACTATTTCTGCAGACCAGTTCCTTGTCTTTCGCGCACTGCTTACACCCACCAAGGCTCTCCAACAGCCCGGCTGAGAGTTTCTCAGAGCTGCACAGCAGTCTCTCGCGAAGTCCTCTTTACCCACCCCACCTCCATTTCTCCTTTCTCTTTTTGTGGATGTCACACTTCCATCGGTGTCTGAAGGTGCTTCTGCCTTATTCTGATCTCTTATCCTTCACAGGCTTCTCTTCCAATGAATCTCTCACCCATTGGATGTGGATTCTCTTGGCATCTGCTTCAAGGAGAACTTGAGTGAAGACCACCAACAATGATATTTCACATCTCCTTCCCTCCTTTATTTTTTCCATTTATCTCGTATTATTTAACAAGCTCAGTTGTACTTATTTATCTTGTTCATTGTTTTTCTCTTCTGTCCTTCAAATCTAAGCTTCATAATTCTATTTGTCCTCTGTTGCTTCCCCAATCCCTAGAATGATTCCTGGCTCATAGTAAGTGACAAAAAAGTATTTGTTGAGTGAATTAGTGAAGGAAAAGACATTAAATAAAACGCAAATAAAGTTCCTGGAAAAAATGAAAAGCCCGTTGAAATTTTTTAAAGTTCATCTTAAAAAATAAAAACTTAAAAATAGGCAAGAAAATGCCAAAACATAATAGCAATATATGATACGAGATATTGAAGAATATAAAGACAAAATAATTAAAGCAGCCTGGAGAAAAAGCTAAAATCAGTTCTAAACTATGTGTTCCTATTCTAATATAAAATACACATTAAAACAAACTTGAAAATTCTGGAAAAAAAAAAGCACCCTGGTACCAATTTGGATGTAGACAGATTGGTCAGTAGGACGGAATACAGGTCCAGCCTCAAGTATTTTTGAGAACTCGGTATATGGATACACATGGCATTTAAAATTTGTAGGGAAAGGAGGAATTATTCAGTAAGCATTGTTAGGAAAACCAGCCATCTGTGGGAAAAAATAGATCTGAATTTTATGCCATATACAACTTATATACCATATGGATCAAAGATTTAAGTATAAAAACAAAATCATAAAGTACTAGAAAAATATGTATTTCTATGTGGGGGATGAAGAAGATAGTTATGACATGTTGCTAGAGGCAAAAAACATAAAGGAAAATATTAATAGATCTGATAACCTGAGAAACAAAACTCTCAACACATCTGTACATTAAAAAATATAAATAGCAGTGAAATGTTCCCAACCAAATTAGTAGCTGGAAAAAGGGTGCATAGTACATATGACAAAGGTTAATTTTTAATGAATGTATCATTGTTTTAATATTATCAATAATTATATACTTAGCAAATGGAGGGATCTTAAGAAATCAGAAAATGATGAAAAGACAAACACAAAAGAGGAAATACAAATAACCTAGACAATTATGAAAAATCATTTAACTCACAGAAATGTAATTACAAACTATAGGGTGTTGGGGCACCTGGAGGCTCAGTTGGTTGAGCATCCAACTCTTGGTTTCTGCTCAGGTCATGATCTTGTGGGTAGTGAGATGAGCCCCGTGTGGGGCTCCCTGCTCAGCAAGGAGTCTGCTTCAAGATTGTCTCTCTCTGCCCCTCTCCCTACTCTCTCTCTTTTTCAAATAAATAAATAAGTAAATAAATCTTAAAAAAAAACCCCAAAACTATAGGATGCCATTTTCACCTTTAAAAGATACGATAGAATACCTATATTAAACAGAAAAATCTTCTATATTTTATGTCATTGATGGTTCTGTCAACAATCTTTTTGTAGGATGATTAGGTGCTATATATATATATATTTTAATTTAATTTATTAATGTTTTAAAAAATTTTGGTTTTATATATATCATTATATATCTTTCGAACTGACTTTTCCATCTATGATTGCACCTTAAGGAAATAACCATGGATATGAGCAAAAATTTAACTAATGATATGTTCCTTATAATATTGCTTATACATTAGAAGTAATTTAAATATTCAATAATAAGAGACTGGCTGAATAAATTATGATGAAATGTAGTTCAGTCTCTTAATGATTTTTTAGAATGTTTAATGTCCCAACAATGCTAAAGATTGCATTGGTCAGAATAAAACTACATTATGCTGCTCAAATAGCCCCAAAGTTTTCAGTGTCTTACACAAAGACCCCACTGAGCTGGTGACTCTCAAGGGCAGCTCTCCTCCATGTGTTGACTTAGAATTTCAGGCTATTTCCATCTTATAGCAACTTCGTGTCACAGCAGGAGAAGAGAAGTTCAGCCAGTCTCTATTGGAAATTAAATACTTCCACCCCAAAGAGACATACGTCACTTCAGCTCACATCTTAATTGCCAAAGTCAATGGCTACATCCAACCTCAGAGGATAGGGAAGTAAGTCATCTTATGAACATGAAAGTAGAGGAGAACTGGATATGGATAAATAGTATTGCTTACCATGAAGATATATTGTTAAGAGTATAAAATGACAATACAATTTGTAAGAATTGTGTGTTTGTGTGTGTGTGTAGATAGATAAAGACAGACATATGCAAATGTAGAATCAACAGAGAATGTCTCAGAGTGGCAGGATCATGGTTGATTTCAATTTTCTCCTTTTTTCCTTATCTTTATTTTCTAAAATTTCTACAATGAGCAAATGTTACTATAAGATATCAAATAAAACATTAAAAAAACAGTAACAAAGAAACTTGTTATATATTTTCCTCTGTAAATGTACATATTATGTCTATAACTCTTTGAAGCCCAAATTTTATGTCTTTTAAGAAAGTAAAGTTCTTTAAATTTTACCCTCTGCCATTTTTGATTATCCCTGTCTCTTTCTATACTACTTTTCTCAGGTCCTTAAGCAGAAGAAATTGTTAAACTTTTGTTTGAGATGATTGTCTTTAATTCCATCCCATTCCAATGAGATGGTGTTCAACTGGTGTGATTGAATTATGATTACAACAGCATTACTCCTCTTGAGAAGACATGGCAAAAGGACAGATGAAGTTAAGTGTATTCTGATAGCAAGTGAGCAATTGTCACTAAAAAGATTTAAGATATAACCTTTTCTCTTTTATTCTCAGCCATAAGTGTTTTTAAAGGAAAAAAAAAAAAAGAAAGAAAAAAGAACTTTGTGCATTTTGATTATCAGCACCCAACCCCATTTTGCTTAGCGAAGAATTTTGAAGTTTGAAATATAACCCTGGTTCCTACTTGATTCTTGCCCCTTAGAATTCAAGTGTGTGCTGGTGAGTGCAAAAGTCCTGCTTGAGGGGCGCCTGGGTGGCTCAGTCGTTAAGCATCTGCCTTTGGCTCAGGTCATGATCCCGGGGTCCTGGGATCGAGCCCCGCATCGGGCTCCCTGCTCCGTAGGAGGCCTGCTTCTCCCTCTCCCATTCCCCCTGTTTGTGTTCCCTCTCTCGCTGTGTCTCTCTCTGTCAAATAAATAAATAAAATTAAAAAAAAAAAAAAGTCCTGCTTGACATAGGCATCCATGAGTGTGTACCTCCAGCTGAGCAGGGTGGTTGCTGGCCATCTCCCTGAGTTTACAGAACTGCTCTGCACTCTGTGAGCTTGGTGTCTATTGTATACTATTGAGATTAATGAGTTGAATTTGCCCTAGATGATAGGGTGTCTGGTATGCATCCAGACCAGCCTACACACAGAACCGCTCATGTGTATGAAGTGATTCTTCAGGGGGATATATTTGGACTTCCACACATTCTGATTAAATCCTAACTCTCAGATTAGGAGATCCAGAAGAAGGGCTTTATGGTCTTAAAGCTTGCATTTCAGTCAATCCTAGAGAATGTTGCCAGTCTATTTACTGTAAATCCTTAATTTAACTCTTTTATAAAAGACTCTTTAAAATAAACAGACCCCCAAGGAAGACATACAGATGACCAACAAACATAAGGAAAGATGTTCAATATCACTAAGCATTAGGAAAATGCAAATCAAAACCACAATGAGGTATCACTTCACACCTGTCAGAATGGCTAATATCAAAAAGGCAAGAAATAACAAGTGTTGGTGAGGATGTGGAGAAAAAGGAACATCTTGCACTGTTGGTGGGAATGTAAATTGGTGCAGCCACTGTGGAAAACAGGATGGAGTTTCCTCAAAAAATTAAAAAGATAAATACCACACTATTTAGCAATTTCACTACAGGGTATGAAATGAAAACACTAACTTGAAAAGATACCTGTACCCCTATGTTTATTGAAGCCTTATTTACAATATTCAAGATATGGAAGATGCCCAAGTGTCCATCTATAGATGAATGGATAAATAAGATATGATTAGCTATCTATCTATCATCTATCTATCTATCTATCTATCTATCTATCTATCTATCTATCTATCTATCTAATGGAACATTACTTAGGCTTTAAAAGGAATAAAATCTTGCCATTTGTCACAACATGGGTGGACCTAGAGGATATTTTGCTAAGTGAAGTAAGTCAGACAGAGAAAGACAAATACCATATGATTTTACTTAATATGTGGAATCTAAAAAAACAAAACAACTGAATAAATAGAACAAAACAGAAACAGACTCATAAATACAGAGAATGAACTGGTAGTTGCCAAAAGGATGGGCAAAACAGGTGAAGGGGATTAAGAGGTGCAAAATTCCAGTTATAAAATAAATAAGTCACAGGAATGTAAAGTACACCATAGGAAATAGAGTCGATAATATTGTAATAACTTTGTTTAGTGACAGATGATAACTACACTTATGTGGTGGGCATTTTGTAACATGTATAAACGGCAAATCACAATGTTATACACCTGAAACTAATATAATAGTATATGTCAACTACAATTAAAAAAATAAGTAAATAAAATAATCAGACCCTCCCTATTTAATTTACCCAAGCAATGTCTGTGCCTGCCAGTCTGTCAGTCTGAGCCAACTATTTACATTTATCCATATGGAGGCCATGAAAGGCCAGCAATACACTTAAGCTCACTTAAGTGCAAAAGATTTACTTTGAAGGTGCATAGAGAGACACCTAAAATCTGTGTTCCAATTCTGGGAAAATCAGAATGATGTCTCTTGTCTCAGGGGACTTAGGACTCCATGTCCAGTAAGTGACAGCCTTGGGACAGTGTAATGAATACAACTGTATCAGCTAATACCCCCCAGTAGATGTTGTGAGGCAGTTTTCAGTGAAGGGTAATTGTGGATTTCTAGTAAATTATTATACAGTGAGGCATGTTATTGAGAACTCTCTTGAGGCTCACATGGTAAGTGTATCCATGTGTACATCAATGTCCAATTGTTTTCCCGTTCCCAGTGCATAGAGTACTGCATGCCTCAGCTCCCTTGCAATTAAGTGAGGCCATGTGATTACTTTTGCGTGGATGGAAGTGCAAGATATGACTTCTAGGTGGGGGGCCCTAAAAGGACCATATGTCATTATCCAGACTTGCTCTTCCCTGCTGAATTAACCAAGGAGGCTGCAACAAATGGTGGCATTTCCAGCAACCTGGAGTTTGAGGTCACCCAATGGAGAATGTTTGCCCTGAATAGATACCTGGGCCAGTAGCTGAATTTACAAAAGTGAGAAATGCAGCTTTTTGTGCTAAGCCACTGGGATTTGGGGATTGCTACCATAGCAAAACCAGTCTATCCTGGACTAATTTACTATGAGCACTGCTTCTAACTCACTTCCAGGCTGGACCCGAGTCTCGCTTTATGTCCTCTTTGATCTGTCTCCTAGTTCAGGCCATTGATGAATG